ATTTGGAAAGGTAGAGAGTAAAACCCTCAATAAAATGTATTGACACAATGTCTGTAAAAACAGTCATATCAGAGATGATAGAAATGGCTTATGAATAGGGTAAGATTAAGATCTATTGTTCATAGGCTTGTAGTCAACTTGATGGCACCTACCAACAACAACATATAATAGAGCAAACAAGGGGCAAAGTTTTGCAAAACTTCTTAGTTATAACCAAACTCCTTGAAAGAGTGAGTCACTGGGATTGATGGGTTAGGATCATAGTCTTGGGGGGACATCTGTGTCAAATAATATAGCAAAGTTTGTGTTCTACATTCTTTTTAGGTGAGCAGTGGAAACAGTAATTTAAGATAAAACTGTTGGTCTCTTCCTGTTCAGGGCAAAGACAAATGAAGAAAACCAGAGCCTGCAGACAGCAATTAGTACAAGGGACATTATGCTGAGTGAAATATCTCAGTCACAAAGGACAAATACTATATGATGCCACTGTTGTAGAATGAGGCTGACATCAGGGTGAGGGTAAGAGTGAGAAAAACTGGATAAATTATGTTTTCTGCATTGAAGCCGATGAGGGAGAGAATAGTTTAAAAGTAATATATTTTAGGGCATTATGATTATCATAAGAGTCCCTAATGAGGGTTGCAGAGTGGAGTATACTCGGGGTGGGGGTTGGGGGAGGGGGGAAGGTAGTGGGGGTTTGTATACCAATGAAGGAGTTTTTCTTTTGCTTTTCAAGGAGAGGAGTGAACTGGAGGTGGGGGTGGGGTGGGTGGGGAGAAAAGTGCAACAATGAATGAATGGAAGTCCAAAATCTCTGTAGATGTTCATTGAAATTAATTTAAAAACAAACAAACAAACAAACAAACAAAAAACCAAGGGACTAGTGGACCACACCAATTAAGCCTCCACTAGCCTGAGACCAGAATTAGATGGTGTCCCACTATCACTACCAAACTCTCTGATCAGAATCACAGTAAAGGTTCTGGACAGAGCAGGAGAAGAAAAGGTACAGCAAAATTCAGTATCATAAAAAGGCTAGCATTACTGTTCATATGGACACTGGGAGAACCCTGGGGATCATGGCTCATAGACACCCTTCCAACCCCAGCAATCACTTTTCAGCCAAACAATAGCCAGGTCTATAAACTGAACAATAACACCAGTAAGGAACATGCTCTGCAGAATAACCAACTAGACCAGACCAAAAAGGTAGCATATGCCCAGACACAAAGTACAAAAGGCAGCAAGGGGCAGGGACGATAGGCAATGGGAATGAAGAACTGGGTGAGGAGTGGGGAGGTGGTAGAGGGAGGGGGTGGGAAATGGAAAGAGTACTGTTATTGAGGGGATTGCAAATAATATCATGAAGCAAATATGAGTAGACGGTTGAATGGGAAACGAATTTGCTCTTTTTATTTTCACTCAAACTACAGTAAAATGTTTAAAAGAGAGAGAGAAGCGGAGATTTCAAGATACACCCAAAGAACAAGCGTGTGCGCCCACAAGTCCGTAGAGTGGTGCACATGCGGTGTCTGTTATGCTTCCACGTCATATGCTTCACCCTGACTCTGCTCACGCATGTGTCTATAAGACCCATCCAAGCTCGCTGCAGGACCACATGAACCAGGGCTTGGGTCTCAGCCTCTATCAATTTGGTTAACCAGGGCGCACAAATGAAGATTCGCGGTGCTGAGTCGAATGAGCATCTGGATCCACAACTGACACAGGAGCCGGCTTCAGTTCAGGAGAGATCAGTCAGTGTCCCCGGAGCTGCCAGCTCTAGCCCTCTCACTCAGCCTCTTCACTCAGGGATTTGGGGAGCGTTTGGGGTCTTTGCAGAGCTCCGGGAAGACTGAGGCTCTCAGTGAAACATCCCTGGCAACCTGGTACTAGGGCGCACTGGCACAAAGTTGCCTTGGTGAATAATGTACAAATGCTAGCATGCTCTTGAATGAAGGGTGAATGGAGCCAGTGCAGACGAACGTAGAATGCTGATCGCTCCCGCATCCTGGATCACTCCGAGATGATGCAGGCTCCGTTCCTGGAGAGTCAGGCTCACGCTCTCGCGCTCTACATAAAATACAATTAATTTCACAATTGAATCAACAATATTGTTTTTTCTATCACCCCCCCCCGTGTTTTCTCTGTTTCAGTTATCTTTTCAACATCACTCTTGACCCTAAATTTCTGCACTCTTTTCTTCTCTTGCCTATTTCCCCCACCTGCTATCTCCTTCCCCTTCATGAGACGCGCTTCTCTCTCTCTCTCTCTCTCTCTCTCTCTCTCTCTCTCTCTCTCTCTCCCCCCCCTCCCCCGTCCCTCGCACACAGCCCCTTGGCTTCGTGGCCACGCAGGGAGTGTGCTAGAGCTGGGGGCCAGAGTGGGAACTCCAGGCAAGCACATGCTCAGGGCCAACCTGCTAGGTCAGAAAAGGTCCGGATCCTGTTCTTCCCAAGGTCCAAAGCCACGGTGCCCGTTCGCCTGCGGGACACACCCCAGCGGCTCTCCCCTGGCCAGGCAGGGCATTCACTCCCCACCCTGCAAAGTTCTGATGCGCTCTTGCCTGGAGCTTTTCCTGGAGGAATTTCTGGCTAATGCGTCCAGCACGGGAAATGGCCTATGCTTCCCGGGGTGGGGAAGTCCGCCCATACTTAGGACACAATTTCTCTACAACTTCACTCCCACCCGGAGTCCCGTCCTGGCGCCAGGTGGCCCCATGCTCGTCTGGGTTCCAGAACGCCAGTCCCGCTAAGCTGCACCCGCTCGGTTCTGGCGGCGTCCCTAACCCTTCCCTGGTCTGGCACGCCGGCAAAGCAGCAAGTGGGGAGCCCGGGGTAAGAAGGCTGCTGTTGGATCTTAGTATGCGGCACTCAGCCTTCTGTTTTAGAGAAAGGTTAAAATTAGAGCATTGAAATAACCAAGTTGTATTTTCAATCCACTTGACTAGTCTTTCGTTGGGGACGGTACCAGAGCGCATGTTTCCAACCTGACAACTCTGGCTTCAGTCACTGCTTCATGAGACCTTGAAATCCAGATTTACGACTTAGTGGTGTCATGTCTAGAGTAGGTATATACTCTCCATGACGTTTAGAGAGATTACACTTTCTACATGTTACCTCATTGATTCTTTGAGACAGAATCCTGTGGGGGCCAATCTTACTTTCTTCCTCATTTGAGGATTAAGAAAGGAGGGCCAGAGAGTTGCCCGACTTGCTCAGCGTCATGCATTGAGTAACTTAGACACGGAAGACAAGTCCTGACTCCAGACCCCAAGGTCCTCCCACAACAGGGCCACCTCCTTCCAGAGTCTCCTCTGCAGTCTGTGTTAGCCAGACCTTCTACAGAGGCCAGCATAGGAGTTATTGTTATGTGTCATCGAGTCGCCTGCGACTCATAGTGACCCTATGTACAACAGACCTAAAACCTGCTCTATCCTGTGCCAACATTATTGTCTCGTACACACCTACTCTGATTACCCCAGTCACTGAATCAATCCATCTCATAGAGAGTCTTCCTCTCCTGCGCCTTCCCTCCACCCTCCCAAGCATTACGTTCCTCTCCAAGGACTGGTCCCTGCTTGCAACATGTCCAAAGTGTGTCAGACGAAGCTTTAGAATCCTTGATTCCAAGGAGCAGCGTGGCTTCACTCTCTCCAGGATGAACCTGTTTCTTCTCTTGGTAGTCCATGGTATAGTCAACACTCTTCTCCAGCACCACAGCTCAAAGGCATCAGTTCTCCTTCTATCATCCCAAGTCATAGGAATAGCACTAGTAAATATTTACGGAATTAATCCCTGGATCTGGCAAAGCCTTATGGCTGGCGTGTTTTATACAGTAGCATTTGTCTGAGTCGTATTTGTTAACTCCTTTGCTCCTTCTATTAAATGACAGTTACTTAGCGTCTAAGGTGATCCGGTGCTAATCTAAGAGCGGCCGGAGGTAGGGGTTGGTGAAGGCGAGGGTCTGCCATAAATCCCCAACCCGCAGCCTCCAGAGAAGCTGGGCACTGGCTGCCCTGACTGAGGAGGATGTCAGGAAGAAGGGATCTAGGGAGAGTTCTCAGCCTTGCTGATGCTGGAGCGGCTGCAGGTGCTGAGGCGGGGGCGACTGCAGACGGAAGAAGAGGGAGACAGTGAAAAGAAAATATGAGAAGGGAATTCCGCGAGAGAGGAGCTAGAGAGGTTACACCGACAAGAATCAGAGATCTAGACAACAGAGTGGGGGTGGTGGGGAGAATGAAGGTAGAGAGAGAGATCAGATAACCAGGGCAGATAAAAGGTAGAGGGGGAAGCACGAGGTGGGCAGGGGAAGAACCCAGTTGCACCCCTCGTCAGCCTCCGTGGCGGCCCGGGTTCGCGGACCCGAAGGTGCGCAAGCCTCAGTCACTTTAGAGCCCAGGAGCAGTGCGATCTCTTCAACTGGTTCACTGGGCGCTTTGGGGGGAGGAGAAGGAATCACGGTAATTGCTTCTCTTGTGTGCCCCGGCGGTCCCAGAGAAACCCGTGAGGCTTCAGTTCTTTCGGAGGATCCCACGCGCGGGGCAGTCTGGCCCTGCAGAGGCCGCAGCACGTCCGTGGGGTCCGGCTGCCCGCAGCCACACAGCAGTGCGAGGAGCCGCGCCCGAACTCCCGACGCGGAGCCCGGCGGGGCTGCGCGCTGGTCCGGAAGCGCCGGCGGCACCTGCGGCC